TCTTGTAACAGACTCTGGTTCTAAACCTAGTGGTCAGTACTGTACTTGTAACAGTCTCTGCTCTTGTAACAGACTCTGGTTCTATATCTAGTGGTCAGTACTGGACTTGTAACAGACTCTGGTTCTCAACCTAGCGGTCAGTACTGTACTTGTAACAGACTGTGGTTCTAAACCTAGTAGTCATGCAGTACTGGACTTGTAACAGTCTCTGCTCTTGTAAGAGCTGGTTCTAAACCTAGTGGTCAGTACTGTACTTGTAACAGTGTCTGCTCTTGTAACAGACTATGGTTCTAAACGAAGTGGTCAGTACTGTACTTGTAACAGACTCTGGTTCTAAACCTTGGCCCCGCCCCTCAGCCCCCTGGGGGGTCAGCCCCACCATTTGTACAATTTTGAATCCCCACCACCTAGGGATGCTTCCACTCAAATTTAGTTTAATTCCAACCAGTGGTTAAGAAGAAGAAGTCGTTTAAAGAAATTGTTGACGTACGGACGGACGGACGACGGACGCCACGGTATGGCATAAGCTCACCTTGGTCCTTTGGACCAGGTGAGCTAAAAATGAAAAAAAAATACCAAACAATGTTTCACCCTAAAAAAAATGTTTTAGGGCGAAACAACCTGGCACGAAACAACCTAGGGCGAACGGGATTTGGGGCGAAACAACCCGGAACCCCGGATACGGCTGCTGATAACGAGGACGGAAGTAAAAAAAATAATTGTGTTTAATTTTTCAGATGAGGCTATACATCGTCGGTCACTGAATAATCTTATTTTTTTATTTAAATAACTAAATAAACTCTATATTTGATCCGCGAGTGTTTTGATGAAAGTCATGAAGTTACTAAAGCCCACCCCAAGGAGGACACTCCCAGCATCCTCAGCGGTCAAGCGTTCGCAGGCTCGCCTGAATATTAACAATTGAATCTCACTGTACTCTCGAAAATCTGCCGTTATAATCAAAATCGACGTCTCTATCATATCGGTAAGTACAATGATTTGAAAATCGTCACATACAAACTTTCGTCGATTCGATTAAATTAGCCTGACTGTCCTAGCGCCTGTGGCGTCTTTAAACTTAGATTAGATGCGTACTGGAGTCAAGTTTAGTACTAGGTACTTTTATGTTCATTTCGTTAATAATCATTTGGACAAGTAATACAGCATGTAATGCATGAAAAGCTGTTATCATTATTTGACGATTTTTGCCATAGGCGTCTTATGCATGTACAAACGTTTTCTCGCTACGGTACACCACAGGTGTTCGTTACTATATATATGTGTGTAGACATTTGTATAAAATATTTATTGATAATTGATTTTGTTAACGTGTTTTTAAGGAAAAGTCTTCGATTTATGTTTTATAAACTGTTTGCCCTATCCCAAGATTCCCATTGCAATTTATGGCAAACTCAAGTGATTACGCTGCACCTAATACTCGATAGAGGGTGATGCAGAATATATAGATAGATAGATAGATTGTTCTGCCTATAGGCCAATACAGACTGCTTCCCACCTAGCTAAAAGGTGCTCTATTTCTCCAAAATAAAGCAAAAATGTGGAATTTCTTAGGTATACACTGCTAAGTGTTGATTATATTCATTATTCATGAATGATTTTTTTCAGATAATGATTTGAAAACATGGACATCAACAGCTGCCATCTGGGAGAAAAGGAATGGCAATGTTCTGGACAACCTGCATACAAGTGCAGCGTGGTGAAAGTGACCAATGACCTCAGCATGAATTTCACCAAGGAAGTGAGTGACTCATTGAAAGAAACATTTCAGAGTGACAGAATAACTGATTATGTAAGTGTGGCAAATGTTCTACATAATGGCTTCACTATGTACAGCAAAACATGCACAAAAGTGAAAAAGCAGAACTCCTACACCATACTGATAGATACGTGTATCGCAGAGTCTGATGTCATTGAGGTAGAATCCTTTGTAATGCATAAAGAATCGAAGAAGGTGCCGGCCATTGGTAAATTGATGAAAAGAGCTGAATGTGTTCTCCCTCGTCGAGTACCACATCTCCGTCGTCTTGTTAATCTATAAAAGGTATCAAAGTTTATCATCCTTAAGTCCATGAAATTTACTCTTTGCAACCCACAAATTGTTAAATCCATATTTTAGCTCAACTGGTACAAATTTGAAGTACCACAGTAAGCTGCATATACCTGTATAATTATATATAAGGCGATCATATCACACAGAAGAAGAATGTACAGGAGACCAATACAGCTTCCATCCAAGCAAGCAAACGTCTACTGGCCATCTACCCAGAGGTGGGTCTACAGCAGACCAAGATGACTCTGGATCTACAGCTGGTAGTGTACACACTCGAAGCCATATAAGGAGTCCCCCTGAATCGCCAGCACAGCGACACTCTCAAAGTCGCGCAAGGTGTCCCCCAGAATCGCCAGCACAGAGACGCTCTCAAAGCCGCGCAAGAAGTCCCCCTGAATCGCCAGCACAGAGACGCTCTCAAAGTCGCGCAAGGAGTCCCACTGAATCGCCAGCACAGATACGCTCTAAAAGCCGTGCAAGGAGTCCCTCTGAATCGCCAGCACAGAGACGCTCTCAAAGCCGCGCAAGGAGTCCCCCTGAATCGCCAGCACCGAGACGCTCTCAAAGCCGCGCAAGGAGTCCCCCTGAACCGCCAGCACAGAAACGCTCTCAAAGTCGCGCAAGGAGGCCCCCTGAATCGCCAGCACAGAGACGCTCTCAAAGTAATGCAAGGAGTCCCCCTGAATCGCCAGCACAGAGACGCTATCAAAGTCGCGCAAGCAGTCCCCCTGAATCGCCAGCACAGAGACGCTCTCAAAGGCGCGCAAGGAGTCCCACTGAATCGCCAGCACAGAGACGCTCTCAAAGTTGCGCAAGGAGTCCCCCTGAATCGCCAGCACAGAATCGCTCTCAAAGTCGCGCAAGGAGTCCCCCTGAATCGACAGCACAGCGACACTCTCAAAGTCGCGCAAGGAGTCCCCCTGAATCGCCAGCACCGAGACGCTCTCAAAGCCGCGCAAGGAGTCCCCCTGAACCGCCAGCACAGAAACGCTCTCAAAGTCGCGCAAGGAGGCCCCCTGAATCGCCAGCACAGCGACACTCTCAAAGTTGCGCAAGGAGTCCCACTGAATCGCCAGCACAGAGACGCTCTCAAAATCGCGCAAGGAGTCCCCCTGAATCGCCAGCACAGACACACTCTCAAAGTCGCGCAAGGAGTCCCCCTGAATCGCCAGCACCGAGACGCTCTCAAAGCCGCGCAAGGAGTCCCCCTGAATCGCCAGCACAGCGACACTCTCAAAGTTGCGCAAGGAGTCCCACTGAATCGCCAGCACAGATACGCTCTAAAAGCCGCGCAAGGAGTCCCTCTGAATCGCCAGCACAGAGACGCTCTCAAAGCCGCGCAAGGAGTCCCCCTGAATCGCCAGCACCGAGACGCTCTCAAAGCCGCGCAAGGAGTCCCTCTGAATCGCCAGCACAGCGACACTCTCAAAGTTGCGCAAGGAGTCCCACTGAATCGCCAGCACAGAGACGCTCTCAAAATCGCGCAAGGAGTCCCCCTGAATCGCCAGCACAGAATCGCTCTCAAAGTCGCGCAAGGAGTCCCCCTGAATCGCCAGCACCGAGACGCTCTCAAAGCCGCGCAAGGAGTCCCCCTGAAACGCCAGCACAGCGACACTCTCAAAGTCGCGCAAGGTGTCCCCCTGAATCGCCAGCACAGAGACGCTCTCAAAGCTGCGCAAGGAGTCCCCCTGAATCGCCAGCACAGACACACTCTCAAAGTCGCGCAAGGAGTCCCCCTGAATCGTCAGAACAGCGACACTCTCAAAGTCGCGCAAGGAGTCCGCCTGAATCGCCAGCACAGAGACGCTCTCAAAGTCGCGCAAGGAGTCACACTGAATCGCCAGCACAGATACGCTCTAAAAGCCGTGCAAGGAGTCCCTCTCAATCGCCAGCACAGAGACGCTCTCAAAGCCGCGCAAGGAGTCCCCCTGAACCGCCAGCACAGAAACGCTCTCAAAGTCGCGCAAGGAGGCCCCCTGAATCGCCAGCACAGCGACACTCTCAAAGTCGCGCAAGGTGTCCCCCTGAATCGCCAGCACAGAGACGCTCTCAAAGTAATGCAAGGAGTCCCCCTGAATCGCCAGCGCAGAGACGCTATCAAAGCCGCACAAGGAGTCCTTCTGAATCGCCAGCACAGAGACGCTATCAAAGCCGCACAAGGAGTCCTTCTGAATCGCCAGCACAGAGACGCTATCAAAGCCGCACAAGGAGTCCTTCTGAATCGCCAGCACGTAGATACACTCAGAGCCATATAAGGAGTCCCACTGAATCGCCAGCACAAAGACACTCAGACCGGCATAAGAATTCCCTCTGAATCGCCAACAAAAAGATACTCTCAGAACCATATAAGTAATCCCAATAAATCGCCAGCACAAAGACACACTCAGAGTCATATAAGGAGTCCCTCTGAATCGTCTGCACAAAGACACTCTCAGAGCCACAGGAGGGTTCTTGGCAGGAAGAGACTCCGGTCTTTTAGCCCTGAACAGTCGACCCAATCAAAGAAACTTTGTTCTCCATACAGAGGCAGTGAGGAAAGGGAAAAGTTGGCAAACTCTGAAGAAGATTATGAACAGCCTTTCAAGTCACTGCAGTTGAAGGCAACAGACTTCCCTCTTTCTGTGGAAAGTAAGTAATTAAATTTCTGTAATTTTAATGAATTATATGTATTGTAATTATGATAAATTACATTATTGTGTTGATATACTGATCATGACAAGTAATGAAGTCAGCATAACAAAATTCATCTTGGGTAATGGATACTTGTACTTAATCATGGGTTTATTTAATTCAAGGAATTATATTGCATACAGTTTTAAAAGAATTTCTAATTTCTTATAATATGGACACAAATTAGTGTTAATACAGAAAATTTCTAATATGTTTTGTTCTGTTTTCTTGCTCTGTAATTGCTAAGGTCAAAATAGATCACAAATGTGAATACAAATTAAAAAAAAGAAAAATGCCTGCCGAATCGTTTTTGTGTCGCCTACGACGGATGTCGGAAAGGCGGCACAGGCGCTGCTTTTCCGGTGGCGTAGGCATCAACAATGTTAAGTTTTTGCATTTAGCTCTGTTTCGGACAAAGCTAGATCAACAAAATCTCGGTCATAGATGTAGCATGGGTAGAGGAGCCTACTGCATGCACTAAAACAATTTCATTGATTTCTGCATTTTTTGGTTAAAAACCTCAAATTTCTGGACTTAAAAAAACCCTCAAATGTTAAGGTTTTGCGTTTAGCCCTTGCATATTAGCTGTTTCTGACAAAGAATAAATGCTAGAGCAACCAAATTTTGGTCGTTGGTGTATCATGGGATGTATTATAGGGTCACACTTAAAAGCGTCCATAAGCAACCGTAAGCGTCGACTCCAGTACACAGACGATATCATAAATAAAGTAAGCGACATCTCAAGATATATTGTTTATATGTATATAATACATCTATATTCCATATTTTATTGCGATATGTTGAAAATTGACTGAGTTTTTAAATGATTATGCTTCACAAATAGGTTGATATTTGAATTGTAGGTTGTCGTAGTTGGCATTCGATCACTTTTGAGTCTTGAAATTACATTGCTGAACTCGGATATTGATGTTTTTATACTAAGAAATCATGGAAATAATAATATTAGCAGGCATCCCTGGCATTGATTTTCATAGATACCATCAGCAAATATAAAGGGACAAGATGGACCTTCAATTTGATACTTTTTTTTATGAATATTGGTTGCCCAATTTTAAGGTGGTTCGTCGCCACACTACCAGGTAGACCAATTAGAATTTAGGTAGACTCGGGCCAACGGACCACTGTTAGTTTCTAACACTGGTGTATATGACAGGATGAAACAATTATGTACGGTACCACGCGACAAACAAAGGAAAAATCAAACTCAAAATCCGAATTGATAAGACAAAGACGAGAAATAAGGAACATATAAATATGACCAGAAACAACATGAGCCTTGATCAAAACCGAAATTGAAATCTAGAAGCGGCTCCACTTATCCTTGTTAGCAATATACAATGTTTTTAAAGTCATCATATTGTGTGCAAGCTCGAGCGTAAGGTAGCGAATCAGTAAATGATGATACCCGGTATTGTTTAAAAAAAATATGATATTTTTCAAATTGTTATTTCATCCTTTTCAGAGAAAGCATTTCAAAAGGGTGGGAGGTGTTGATGCATCAGACCTTGTTAAGAAATCAATGGCTAGGTAAGTAATTTAGCTTCTTCTTTAAACATAGTTTCACCAGTGACCTAAACTGGTAAGAAGCATCATTGGGTTGAGGGGAACAAGTTAGTGATTGAATTGGTGTTAATGTCCGATGGACACATTAAGGTCATTTACGGATAGTGCCAGTGTTATTGGTGGAGGCTAAGGAACTGGAGCTAACGGCAAGTAAATAGCAACTTTCTCGCACTAGGCCGAAAAATACCTTTATCGCAATTTGTGAAACTGCATGCCCCGAGTGGGATTCAAACTCGGAACCTAGGTAGTGAGAGACCTGTGATTATCAGTCTGCGACCTTAACCACTCAGCCACCGCATCCCCTTGAGGGAACAAAGTGTCCTTATTTTATCCATATGGGTGCATGGCCAAAGGGCTAATTTTGCAGTCTTTAAAAGTTTTATTTTATCTAGTCTTGGAACTAACAAATACTTATAGTGATGCGTGTCCAAGGAATTAAGTTTCTTCATGTTGGACCCGGAGGTTACTTGTTTGCCCTGTACGTCACATATTTTCGTGCTCTAGTGCATTTATTTCTTATCCAATTTTCACGAAACTGTACCACTGCATACCGGCAAATTTTCTATACTTATGTATATTGGGAAGACGAAGTGTCGCGTACTAAAATCGGGTCTTGTGCCTTAATATTTACAGAGTTACGGGCCTTTGTTTATTTTTCATACCGAAGGTGGGGGACTATGGATCGCTCACAATGCTTTGCCTTGTTTTATTGGATCGTCTGATTTTATTGAATTTTATCACCAGAAATTCAGTTTTTCATATAACAGTTAATTGTTTAAACAGCCACCGGCATGTCAGCATCTCTTTGGTGCAGTTTAGCTATGGGACGTCCAGACATGTACAGAGCATAGTTAATTGGTCAGGTTGCCGCTCCAATAGCAACACCACATCAAGAGATGTTGACATGCCGTTGACTGGTTCAAACAATTCACTGTTACACGAAAAGCATAACTCCTAGAGGACTCGCTGTAAACACGTCATTTACTTGTGATAAGTCACAATCAAAACTCCTGAAGTTTAGGTAAAAGTTCAATTTCTTTTCCAATGAGATCACCGCTAGGGTTACATAGCGTGTTATGGAACGATTTATTTACTCAACACTTCGTTGGGTTATCTTTAATGGGTCATCAGTGGTGTAACACATGCAAGTTATGGTAGAAATGAATGTACGTACATGTTTTCATTTACAGAATAATGACAAATAAGTTGATGGCGGGGATGAACCTGCACGGGAAATGTGGAAAACGGGCTTTCAGTAAAACTCATCAATTCAAGCTCATTTGTGGTATGTTTATCAAAATTTATCATTACTTCCCCAAAGATAAGATAAACAGGAGGTCAATGGCCACATAGTTATCTGGGCATCTATTAATAATAAATTTAGGGTGTGGTAACTTAGTGAGTATTTATTAATTTTAAAGAAAATCAATTATATACATTTTTTTTACACAAAAATGCACCTTCCGTCACTAGAGGCCAACAAAGGTCAAGATTCATTGTATCAAAAGTACTCGCCATTATGGTCAATAATAATCACCTTCAACAAGCCAGACTCGAACCTCTGCTCAGAGAACTAAAAATGGCAGGACAAAAAGGTCAGACTGGGAATTTTTAAGTGAGTGAATAAAAGTAGCCATTTTTGTCATTTTCAAATATTCAAAATTTTCCCATCTGTAGTCTGAATTGAATTATTTTTGGAATTTTGTTCTCCAATTTGCAAGCTCTGTATGCAAAAAATAGATGTTTTGTAAGTTAAAATTTAGATTTGACTCGCTATCTTAAGTAGTCACTATTACCTAAGTTATCTTCTTGTAATTTTTCTCTTCAGAAACTGTCATCAACTCCTACGATACAACCACCACAAAAGTCATGCAGGAAATGTCAAAATTTCTTAAATATGCACCGGAGCGATTAGGTGGTGGTGGCCGAAAGAAAGAAGTGATACCATAAAGCATTGTTAACTCGCCTGAGCAAAGCTCTGGTGAGCGTATGCCATGGAGAAGCGTCCTTACGTCGTCCCATCCTTCAACATTTCTTTTAAATGACTTCTGAACAACAAGCTGGGCTAAATTTTATCTTAACTTCACATTAATGATCAGTATATTGGCATAGTTTCAAGGTCATATGCTAGTTCACAAGTCAAGCTATCGATACACGCTTAGCAATCACTACTTTGACGAACATATAGGCAGGAATATAATGGTCACGTAGGGTGCCATCTGCTTGGGATGTCCTGATAACATATATGACATGCTCTAAATATTGTCCAATCAAAACTTCCTCTCCGTCAGCATGAATGATACGATAATTTTACATTTATCTATTCCTAAAATTAATTTTATATTTATCTATTCCAAAACTTGGAAATGTCGTTTTTTGAATGGCAGCACTTATTTACGCTGTGGTGGGGTTTGATTGCTTTCCCATGGTCAATTCTTAACGCATTTGTTGACAAAGTTAACAGCTTCACAAATGGTGTTTAAAAAATGTAACGGTGGATTTATTTGTTTTAATGATCACGGCATTTCATTGGACCTTTTCAGTAACAAAAGAAACCAATGTTCGTCGAGGTACAGATCGCGAAGCATCCGTCAATAGCTTGACTTAATTGGTGAAGGCGGAAAAGCCTCATTATTTAAAAAATGGTATGGATTTTGTTTACACATACGATTGAAGGAAATAATGCAATGATCATTTCGACAGAGTTTCAAGGTCACAAGTTTATAAAGGTACGTAACAAGGTGATCACATAGTTTTCATCCACATGTACAGCTGCTCAGCAATGCACTTTTAGTCTTTATTCCAGATTTAAAAGTGGAAAGTTTAATCCATTCTGATTTAATATCAAGTGAATGTCAGTATGCATTCCTATTCAATGAATTGTAATATACCAATGTAACTGTAGCGTGCATGCTTCCATTATTTCTTTTATTGATGGCACCATTGAAGAAATTGGCACAGCTACATTGTGCACCATGTTGACTTTAACGTTATAACTTCCAGATCTGAACTTCCTGTGTACATTGCATTGGAAACAAGTTATTGTTCAAGAGTACTCCGAAATTCTGTTCAATTGCATTCTGAACGCGGTGCTCCATGGAGTACTCTTGGAGCATACCAGTTGAAAACCATTTGTGTTTTCTTGCCTAACTTTTTACATGATGCAAGTTATGTTTTGTTGCCGTATATTTTGGTTACTTTTCGTCTTTTTCAAATTGCCATAATTGTACCATCTGTATTACGATTTAAACAAAAAATGGAACATTTTACTCAGCTTTTTATCAAACAGAAAATAATCTGTTAAAAGTTTAAGTTTACCTCAAATTTGAGTCCCTACTGTTGATTCATCTCAGGTCTTGTATGTTTCTTAAATGCAATTTTAATAAATACAATTAATTTCATTATTGTGGGAAAATAATGTGTTTTTTATTTTATATATTGTCGAGTAACATATTGTCATGTACTAAACATGGGTGCAAAAAGTAAGACTAAGTAAGATCTGATACATATTTTGAACTAAAATTATGTCATGTATACTTACTTTTGCACCAGAGTACATGTATATTTATTTTGATTATGTATAGCAAAACTTTCTTGCCGAAATAGGTTCAAAGTCTTATTGACTAATTGAAGTGTTGTTTTACATCAGATCAACACACATGTATGTTGACCTTATAGAGTAAAAGGAGAATACTGAAGCATCAACATAATCGTAATTCAAACTCAGTCAATAAAACAAAAGCCAATATAAGAACAAAAGAATATCTACACGGAGACCCTTTGAAAAAGTACAAGGAGAATAAGACCAGGTGTTCCGGAAGAGTAAGTGTCTTCTGCTTCATCAACAACACCCTCCATGCAAATCTAAGTATAATCCGAGAGCTCGGCTTTGCTGAAATTTCATGCTTTAAAGTATGCGTTTTAAGTCTTGGGTATGACTCGTCAAAGTTCAGCTCTATTACTAGGCTACCACGATGGTCAAGTAGTGTATATATATATACATGGTTGAATGAAGCCCGTATTTCAGCTATAAATCAACGTTTATTCACTGTTGAAAGTTCGACGTTGATTCACTGTTGAAAATTCTACGTTGATTCACTGTTGAAAAATTCAGACATAAACACAACAGACGTACAAACACGTAACAGACACACAGACATAAACACAACATACGTACAAACACGTACCAGACATACAGACATAAACACAACAGACGTACAAACATGTAACAGACATACTGACAGAAACACAACAGACGTACAAACATGTAACAGAAATACT